ACACCGTCCGCCTCCCGCGCCCGCCGGACCGCCACGCGGCCCCTCCTGCATGACCTTCCAAATGTCTCCTTCTGAGCCCTGCGGACAGGTTCTGGGGGAGCGGCTCGGGACGGCGCAAGTTTCGGCGAGGACTCTGGGCCCAACTGGCTCTGAACCCGCGCCTCCTCCGCGCCGGGCCGGCCTCTAGCTCCCTCGCTTCAGCCGCCCGTTGGCTGCGAGCGGCCTGAGTCCGCGTCGCCCGCCCCGGCCGCTCCAACGCGGGGCCCCGAGGAACTCCGGGCTCCGCGGCGCCGGAGGCGAAAAACATCGCCCCCCGCGGCGCGGCCAAGCCCGCCCAGGTGCGGCGCAGAATCCGGGCGCCGGCCAAACGCAGAGGCCGCCGCCAGGGCGACGTGCGCCCCCGGGGCTGTCGAAAAAGCTTCACTGCCGAAGGTGGTGGGTGTAGTGTTGGGGATGATCTTGATTAGTTGATTATGAACTCCCTTATCCCCCAAAGTGGATCCTTTCCATTGCCTCTGCAGTAAAAGAACAATAACAACAACAAAAAAAGATATTTGTAGCCGGGCCGTTTTCAGAAAAGTCCGTTGGAGTGAACCGTCCCTCCCTCCCTCCAGCTCCTAAGGAGATATTGGTAGGCCGAGATGATGTGAAGCTAAAAGCAGCGCACATGAGAATAACCAAGATAAAACTGGTCGTTGTTCTAACTTCATTCCTCTCTCCCATGCCTTTTTTTTTCTTCTCTTCACACCACAGCATTTTCTTCATGCGGCGTACACGTACACGCAAGCTACTAGTTTTGAACTTCGGTGCAGGCCCACTCCTCTCTCCTCTCCGCGTGTAAGCTACCCAATGTTGGACTGTATAATTTTGTTCTCCTTTTCTTTTTCCACTTTTTCTGTTTATCCTGAGCACTTTTTGCGGCGCGGCGGATAAGCCTCAGTAGGTTTCTCTCTTCCACTACCACATGAACCGGGGGAAGCCGTGATATCATCCCCCTCCCCCCTCCTCCTCCCAACTGGTTCGAAAGCTGTAAATAGATGCAGGTCGGCGGCATCAAAAGAGATGCAAAACAAATAAGAGCAAAAAAACAAACAAACAAACATCACGCGCGTATGTTTCGTGAAACTGCCGGTAACAGTAGAGAAAGCGTCTCTACATGCATGTCCCGTCACCTGCCCTCTACTTCTCCCGTCACAATCCACGGTTTTCTCTTTATTCCCTAGCGAGACAACCACACGATCAGCTTTCCCAAGTTTCCAGAAACGATCGCACCCCCGCTAAAGCAGCTCAGCTTCCCCTTTCAGTGATATGTCATTCTCGCAACTCAGAATCTCCTTCATAAGTACCCTACGCAATTTCAAGAGCCAGCTGTGAAATACCGTTGTCTTGCCCGCGATGCGGTACGGTCCCACTTTGGTGTAGCCTTCAACAATGGCAAGAAGGCGAATACCGGCCTCAAGCACGACTTTATTGGATTCTGAATAGGTGGCATATATGGTCCCACATGTATTGACCTCAAACTGCGTTGAGAGCTCTTTTTGCTTCGACATGAGGATATCACAAATATACCTTGTTCTCCCCCTCACGTTAAACCCTATGCCAATATGAGGGAGAAACTTTCTGTCGAGGAAATTAAAAAACTTCTCGGAGCGGTGGAGTCGCTGTATGAGGGGGTGTTCTTTGAATTTATCAATCCTCGAGCAGAGCTCGATGAATTGTTCAAATGTAATTCTTTGCTCGCCATGATGGTCGGGATCAATGAGCTCAAAGAAGTTCTTTATATCTTCCTCCGAAAATTCAAATTTCAACTCCTTTAAACTGTCTGGCGTAATCACTCCCATATGCCTCACATCAAGCTCGTTGAACGCTTCGCGAAGTTCCACGACTAATTGCTTCTCCAGTGTAAAGTGAAACAGGTCAGCCATACGACCAATACTATACTTCTTTCCAAGATCCTGGTGGTTAATGTAGCCAATGACAAACTCCGGCTCGGAAATGCAACCGTCTTTATTCAGCGAGAAATTTGACATGAATTTTTCCACCTCTTCATTTGATACCTCCCGACAACCGTTAAGCTTGATAAGTGCGTCACGCACTTCCTCTTTACTGAGGAACCCAGTGCCATTGACATTGCACGTAACAAAGGCTCGGTGAATTGTATTCTGCAATTGTTCTTGCGGTGAATTCCTGCCTGAGGCAGCTTCACTTGGTGAGGGAATTATCTTAAAGGCCGCACCATTACTGGGGCTGTTTGGTGAGGCCATAGTGGTCGGAGATGCATCAGGAAAGAGGCTGGGGTCCAAGTCCACCTGAAACCATGGGTTATAAATGACGGCCAAGGTGTCATAACGGTCCTTCGGATTGATCTGTAATAGGTGCGCAATAAGATCACTGGTTTCCTGGGTAAGGTACCGGTTCTTTGCGTTATATTTGCACTTAAGGATGCGTTGTTTGGTTGCGGCGTCTGTTACATCTGCAAACGGAAGGTATCCACACAACATAAAAAACAGAATAACCCCGCAACTCCACATATCACATGCGGTTCCCTCATATCCTTGGCGAGAAAACACCTCTGGTGCTTGGTAGTCAATGCTTCCCGCAAGTGAGTGAAAAAGGACAGGGGGTTCATTCGAGGACTGCCCCTCCTTTGTGTATCTGGCAAGGCCCCAATCACAGACCCGCAACTCATTATTTTCACCAAGAAGAAGATTCTCAGCTTTGAGGTCACGGTGTGCAATGTTGAGGCCGTGACAATAGTGCACCGCAGAGATAAGCTGCTGAAAATAGTGGCGGGCCGTTTTCTCATCAAAGCGCTCTGACGTCACAATCTTGTCAAACAGCTCTCCGTTCGGGGCCAACTCCATGACAATGTTATATGCCGTCGTTGACTCGATCGCGTCGAGCATCTTTACGACGTGTTTGTGTCTGAGCTTCCGCATCACCTCAATCTCCCGGTCCACGTACGACTTTAGACCGATGTTATCCACCAATTGCTTTGCCATTACCTTTACAGCCACATTAATTTGACGCTTCCTGTCGTATGCAAAGTACACCTTGCCGAACCCACCTGTCCCCAGCAGGTGGTACAGCTCCACAGTGTTGCCAACGAGCTTCGGGGAGGTACAAATCGTCATTTGCAGTAAAACCGTGGGGTTGAGGCAGCAAACGAGCGCTAACTAGATAAAACTATGAGAAGTCCGGCATAAAAATCAAAAAAAAAAGTGGATGCGTGGAAGGAAAAAGGAAGGAAACGAATATCAGAAAAGAGCCAGTTAACACAAGGAGAGGAGGAGCTGAGGCATGGGTGTGTGCAGTGTCCTTCAAACTGCCGCGTCCGTCAAGAGTAGCTGGAGCAATAAACACCCCATCGCTCTTATCTGTCTATGCCAATTCTGTCAATTCCCTCCATTGATGCAACATCATCCTCCGATAATATAAATGTATGTATAGAATATCGTTTTATCTTTTCCCGGTTCCGTCCTTCCTTCCCTTCGCTTCGACCTCCATCACGGCTTCTGTTGTTCTTCTTGTTTTAATTGTTTGCGGCAGCGTCCAGCTTCGGGCGCCGCGGTGGCGGATCCAGCGCCTCGCCGTTTGGTTTATCCCACTCTCTTCTCACCGCTTTCATCAAAATCCCCACCCGACGCTCAAAGTAGGTGTCGCTTCTTGATTGGCACCACACGTCAAACCGGTACTCTGGCATCCCCTTCACGACGCTGCCTATATTCTTCACTCGGAAACCAGTGTCATACGCCATGAGGAAAAGCCGACGATCAAATTCATGAGCTCCGCGTCCCCTGAAGGTGAGTTGTGACTCCGGATGATCGTAGCTCTCAACCTTCCATGTGGCGGCACGCAGTTCATCCTCTTTCCTCTTGCGCTTCTCCTGAGCGTTCCTGATGCGCTGTTCAACGTGTAAAAATCCTTTAATACACTGTGCCCCACGCTCAAGAAGAGCCGTCAAGTAATCACGCACTTCCCCCACTGTCTTGCCAGAGGCAATGGCACTCGCTAGTGCCGGGTAATCCGTCACGTCATACGCACCGCTGGTGAGTGCCCCAACAAGGCGACGGTACTCTTGAAGACTCCAATTTGAGAACCCCTCATTAAGTAGCCGCTCCCGCTCTTCCTGCTCCACGATCGTCAGTGTCTCGTCCTCCTCCTCCACTTCCTCCTTCCCCGTGTTGCGATCCGTCGCTTCTGCCTCTAGGCCTTCCTGATGCTCCTGCTGCTCCGCAGCGCCGTCGCCCGAGGGTTCGTATTTTCGTTTCCAATTCTGCACCATCAAAGCAAGCTCCGTTGCGTGGAGCTCCTGTAGCCGCTTGGCATTGTACAGTTGATGCGGGGGAAATTTGGGGCACCTTGGAAGGCGTAAGGGCGGGGCTTTTGTGGCGCGGCTCTGCATACGTTCCACGTCCTCCTCTGTATAGTGGCGAATCGCCTCCCGCAAACGGTGACCACGCCCGAGTTTCTCACCAACGCTTAGATATTCCGTGATCACTTCCGTGGGTACAACCATTTGCGCATCCTTCGCGGCGAATTGACACTCATACGGCAGGTTATCCTTGGCCTCAATGGCGCCACTTGTGGAGCGAAAAAAAACAAGGGCTTCGGAGAGGTTTGGGTGCAACACAACCTTTATTACCTCACCGTGTCTAGAACATTGCCGGTGCAGTTCGTCCTGTGAGACCTGGCTTGGAAGTGAAAGGTGCAACATGCGCGACTCGACACCGGCCTTGAAGCTTACGCCTTCAAAGTCGTAGACATTTGCTTCCTCTGCACCAAGTTGAAAACTTGCCAATGACATTTGAACCTGTTCCTTCATAGCCGAGTTAATCTGCTTGGACTTCTCTTCCCCATCGAAGAGTTGGTCAATGTCAGCCTCCGTAATGTCCTCATCCTTGGTCTTGAAGATCTCTTCTGCACCAAACTTGATCATGGAAAGAAGTTCCTCTTTGGAGACATTGTTTCCACCACGCCTCTGCATACGCCCATGCTGAACTACCATTGCGTCAAGGTAGAGCTTTTTTAGTGCGCGGCGGTAAATCTTTTCCTCCACCGTGCCCTCTGTTATAAAGCGGTATATCCGTACCACACGTTTCTGACCAATTCGATGAGCCCGATCCTGCGCTTGTAGATCCATCTGCGGATTCCAGTCCGAGTCGTAGATAACAACATGGTTTGCCGCCTGCAGGTTGATACCAAGTCCTCCCGCTCTGGTGGAGAGTAAGAAAATAAAGTAATCACTGTTGGGTGAGTTGAAGGCGGCCATTTGAGCGTCACGGTCGTACCCACTTGTGTTGCCATCGATACGACACACTCGGAATCCACGCATCGCACAGTAGTCCTCCAGGATGTCCAACATGGTGGTAAATTGTGAGAAGATGAGAACCTTGTGTTTCGCCTCCCCCTCACGTTTGAGACGAAAAAGCAATTTGTCGAGAATCAACATTTTTCCACTGTATTTCACAATGCGTTCATCGGTGATAAACGGTGGCCCTTCCTCCCCACCATTCATCATATATGGGTGATTAATAACTTTGCGCAAGTTCATCAAGATATTCGTGAGAGAAGACATGCTTCCTCCAGACGCCTTGTTGAGTGCTTCGGCATCCTTCGCTAATACATGCATGTACCACTTCCGCTGCGTTTTAGTCAACTTGCAGGCGACGTAAATTTCCCTCTTTGGTGGAATACCAGTGCTAACTTCCGATTTTACACGACGGATCATAAGAGGAGCAAGTATCTTGTGCATGTTTGACATGGCATTACTATCCTGTTGACCACTTGAGGTGTCAAACCAGGCCTCAAAGGCTTCAGCGTTGTCGAAGAGGCGAGGGGCAAGAAAGTGCAGCAAGGCCCATAGCTCCTTGAGATTGTTCTGCAATGGAGTTCCGGTGATAATAAGGCGATGATTCGTGCACAGGGAATCCAAGGCAGTGTGGGCGCGGCCCTCCTCATTTTTGAGTTTATGGGCCTCGTCTACAATTAAATACTGCCAGTGGATGCGTTTAAACGTAGGCAACTCCTCGAGTACCATCTCAAACGTGGTCACAACAATGTCGTATTTTAACTTTTCGTACGGCTGAAGGTGTGACTTTATCAGCTGTGGACGAATCTCACTGGACCCGTGGAACTTGAAGGCGTTAAGGGCCGGGCACCAGTGCTTGAGTTCCCGGTACCAGTTGCCCATGACAGACTTCGGGCAGACCACAAGATGTGGTCCGGGGAGTCCGTAGGTGAACTTTAGGTACCCCAGAGTCGCGATGGTTTGCAGCGTCTTGCCAAGGCCCATCTCGTCCGCCAGAATGCCGTTTATATTGCAAGAAAAAAGGCCCAGCAGCCAGTTCACGCCCTCAATTTGGTACGGCCGCAGTTTGCCCCGTATGTATGACGGGGTCTCGGTGAGGTGCAGGAGGTCAAAACCCACTGAGTCCTCATCTGCATTGCCCCCGTGGCGGGAGCGCAGGCGCTTGCTATTGCCGCCCCCATTTTCACCGCCCCACTCCCTCACCCCTGTCCAGTACTCCGTCTCTGTCAAGAGGCGGTCAAAAGAGCCGAGCTGCTGATGCTGCGGTGAGGATCGAAGATTGCGAATGATGCTCTCACGCTCATGGTAGGTTTTAGCGAGTTGCGACCGCTTCGCCGCAGCCACCCGAGCGCCCTGCACAGGGTCAAATGTAGGAGCCACGTACCCTTCATATTCCTCTTCTTCGCTCTTCTCATTAGGATTCATCCCGGCCCGCACGCAGCCTAGTAATATCTGTTCATACAACTCCGCCGCTGCAAGGTCGTTCATGCGACGATCCAGGTCACTTGCAGTGTGCAGGTCCTGCCGCTGCCTCTCGGTACGACTCGGATGCATCGTCGTCATCGGTGAAACCTACAGTCAGTGTTGACCAAGCATAGTGTTTAAGACGAGGCAAGGAAACGAAAAAAAAAAAACAATCAGGGGAGGGGAAAGGAAAGAAAGAATACAAATAACAAGCAAGCAGAAACAAGCGGTCCAAAAAACAATGAGTCTCTCCTAACAGTGAGTTTGCTTCCTTACGCGTTTTCTCTTGGGCGTAGAAATGAGCCGATATCGCCTCAGCTTCGGTTCTACTCGAACCGGAGCTCCAGTACTTTTTCTTTTCTTTTTGCGCGTTGAGTTCCTCCACTCACTTTAGCAAAGCGAACTTTCGTGAGAATCACCAGTCGTCCACGACGCCAAAGCGATCTAGCAGTGTTTGCTGCTCCTTAACGTCCTTCTGTACCTTCTTTCTCATGTAGAACACCGGGCAATCCCTGCTTGTGCATATAACCTCCTGATTCAGGGAGCCCTGGCACTGCTGGCACTGCGTCCAAACCTGAGAGTAGATTGCCTCGTAGTGATTTCGTTTCGCCACAATCTTCCCATAGACTTCAGTCTCCTTGTGACGGCAGTTATCACAAAGAGCTCCCTCTTTTATGATGGCACGACAGGAGATGCACTGAAGCTGAATCCTGACAAATTTCATCAACCCCCCGGCATTTTTGCTAGGCGCTGACACCAAAACATGGCGTGTGTGGTCCCCCTTGATCAGGACGCTGGGGTCATCGAGGACGCCCTCAAACACGCGTAGAAGCGGCGGCGCGAGTTGGTGCTCCAGGTAATACTGGGTGTCGATGGGAACGTTGTTTTCCAGCACATAAATGGGATCCTCGCTGCGCTCGTACGCCTTGGCACCCCTCGCTGCTCGGACAATGACATACGCGACGCGATCACCGATGTTTGGTGCGGAGGCAGGGTCGCGTTTGCGCATTCGCTCAACGAGGGCAACGTGAGCCTGCGCCACCGCGTACTCGTTCTCTGCCTTGGAAAACGCCTTCGTGATGACGAGGTGGGAAATGTCAAGGCGGTTCAACAGGAGGTCGCGGATTGTTCCCTTGACAAACTCCACTGCGCTCTCCACAGAGCGCTGAATCAGAATTCGATTCAGCACCCCAGAAATAACACTGGCCACGAGTGGACAGTTATCACGTCGCACAGTCTCTATACCTTTTGCATCTAATTTGTCGTACCGTTCAGTGTTTGTCCAGAGTAGTCCTGCATACCGCTTCTTGTTCATCAACAAGTACGGGAAATACACCTTCTCAAACTCCAATTTGATAGGTTTCAAGAAGTGGCTTGATACGTCCTCTGCCGCCGCTTTACCAAACGACATTGCATACTCCAACCGTTCCTTGTCTGTCCCTTTCTCGTCCGTCACACACTTAATCATCACGGAGTCTGTGTCACCGTAGACAACCTTCACACCTGGGTAGAGGGACTCCACGAGGGATTTGGTTTGATCAATCATCAACCGCCCGTACGCGGTGACGGAAGAACTGACCTCTAAACACGGTAGTTTCCCTACCTGTGCCCCTGTGAAGCCGTAAACCGAGTTTGCACTTACCTTAAGGGCCAATTGACGACCATTCAGAACTTTATATTCAAGAGACTCCATGGGGACGTTTTTCATCAACGATTTGGCATGTTTCCGCGCCGCAAGGAGGTCTTGCAACACCTCGGGAAGAATACCAGGGAAAAGCTCCCGCTTCACAAAAGTGTCGCCGGTGGGGGTGCGGCTCAACATTTCCGCTGGGCATCGTCCGATATCGGAGGGACGTACAAGCGTGGAGTAGCACAAATTATGGGCAATAATAATAGATGGATACAGAGACGCAAAGTCAAGGGTGACGATGGGGCAGTTGTAAAATCCTTTCAGCGGCTCAATAACTGTGGCACCCTCGTAGCCGCGTTGGTCACCGCCGCCGCCAGAGTACCCAACCGCCGGAACAACGAGATTCTTCGCCTTGGACTTGCGCAGCATCATGGAGAAAACCTTGATCTGCTGCCCACGCTCCAAGAGCCACTGAATCGGAACCCCCGTCACACGCGCCATCTCAACATTATTTATAATTATCATCAGACGCTCCAGCAGCTTTACAGGTAGAAGAGCATCTTTCAAGCAGTACACTGCCAGTCGTCGTCGCGTCTCCTCGTTTCCTTGTTGCAGGTCCGCAATGATGGAGTGATGCACGTCTTCCTTTTGCTCACCCAAAAAGTGCTGCGATACTGCGTTAAGGGAATATGAGCGCAGTTTGTAGTCTCGTTGAATAACCACCATAACATCTAGAATCACCCGTCCCTCCAGTGTCAACTCCGTGTATTCACGGTTACCCATCTGCTTAGACTGAAACTTTTTCTCTCTCGGGACGGTTCGCTCGTTTACTTGACGACCCCAATAATGAAAGGCGGCGTTGATCTTCAACGCCGCACCGCGATTGAGCAGGTAGGGAAAATCAAAGTTGCTGATATTGTACCCTGTAAAAATGTCCGGATCAACCGCCTTCACAAAACGCACCCACTCCAGTAGCATTTCTTCTTCTGTTTCACAAGAGCACACCTGCGCCCCGGCAATGGGTGCACAACTTTTAAGTGTAAATATTGTTCGGGTCAGTGGTTCCGCCTCATTGCCGTAGCTAATACAGTGGTTAGCGATCTGAATAACAGGGTCCTCATTAGGGTCTGGAAAGAGACCCTTCTTACCCTGACACTCAATATCAATAGAGAGGATACGAAACGGGGCGATGGACAAATATTGTCCGACCGCGTCATGATTTTGCACCGCCTCATGCGAGCAACAGAGCTCAATTTGACATGTCGACGTACGCTCCGTGGCGATGCAAAACTTGCCCACCGGAATCGTCAGCCAGTTGCAACCACTAATGCCATTGTCAACGATGAAACGTAACGGAAAAATAATGTTGCTCTCGTAGGTGGAGAAGACACGGACACCGTCCCATGCCCCCGCACACGCAACCCCATGATCGGAAAGCAGAGCACGCAGCCTCGGAATGTGCTGTGGAAGCTGTACAACTAGCTTGAGGTGCTCCGTCAGGCCCTCATCCTGGTAGTGCATGATGCTCTGTCGCTTGTGCACCTCAATGCGCACCACGGTGTCTGAGGCATGTGTAAGCGTGTCAAGCTGGGCGTTCAACTCGGATTTGAGCAACTGCGAGTACGCCGGAAGCCACTCTTTTGGTGCCCTGATCCACAGGTACGGCTCGTAGTTGTAGCAGTGCACCAAAACGCTATGCCCCTCAGCCGTAACACCGTAAAGCCGGACGATGGGATTCTCCGCATGACGCACCCTCGAGACCGTTGGGTGGGCACTTCCCTTTGTTTGACAGCAGTCCAGCAGCTGGAAGAGCAGGTCACGCCGCAAGTAGTCCGGTGGCAGCTGTGGCCGGCATAGACTCCCCCAGTGGCTCATTAGAGGTTGCGCGAGAGAGCGGTGGTGGCGCAGAACGGGGAGTGGCGGCGAAGCTAAAAATCCCTCTGTAGCTTTGATAATTAAAAGGAAAAATATATATATATATATATAAAAGGGTGGGGGTGGACAATTTTCCTCGCCGAAACCACGAAAACATCATCAAAGCGCGACACAGACGCATAAAAAAATGAAATAAAAGAAGAAAAGGGAAAGGAATATATATATATATATATTAATGCTCATTTGGCTTGGGTACGGCATGAACCACCATAGAGCCGTATAAGCGCAAGGCGAATCGCATCGCGACTCTCATTGCATGGGGCCGCACGCTCAAGAATTGGCCAGGTGTTGTGGTCGCGTCCAATACGTCGCCTGTCAAGGCACTCGCTCCCCAACACTTGTACCGCGAGTTGCCAGTTTCCACTGAGCGCCAGTCGTTGGACAAGAAACGGCAAAGTGTTGTTGTCCAGGACGCGCGTGCGAATGCCCTCCGCGAGGACGCTTTGCACCCTTGCATCACTACTTTGCACCGACCGCAGCCGTTCGCAAAGCAGACTGACCTCTCGGACGGGAAGTCGCTTCATGTCTTCGGCAGAAAAATACGAGAGAGAAGTGAGAGAAAGCCACTCCGGCGTTCGTGCCATCCGCGGCCCGGACCGAGGAAATGAACGGATGAAAACAAAGGTAAAACTGGCAGCGACACAAGGTCCCAGCTCTCTTTTCAATTTCCTTCATTTGGGTTCCCCTTTCCGTCACGCAATCCAGCCGAACTGGCGCTCCCTTTTTGGTATGCAAAGGACAAACGCAGCAGCAGCAGCTCTTCGTTTCCTCCTCATGTATACGTTTCTGTGCGTGTATGTTTGTGTGTGTGTGTGTGTGTATGTGGGCGTGTTTGGCAATCCAGGACGCAACGGAGTTCCGCACACGCGGACAACAGAGTGCAAACAGTCCGGAACGCGTCCATAGCAACAATAAAATGGAGGGGGTAAAAAAAAGGCTGCACCTCTTGTCCCCTGCCCCCTTCAAACGCCCTTTTCAAGGGCGTTAAGCTTCTCCCGGTTTCTAGAATACAAATTGAGGGGGAAGTCAGGGGCGACGTCTATCATATCTTCCGGGAACCAGTAACCCAAGAATCTACAAAGAATCCAATCGATAACACAGAGAAGCCAACAGATCATTCCATACAGCAACCCGACTGAGGCGTAGTTCATCAAACGTTCATACAATGATGGTGTTGTTGTGTTAAAAATCCTCTCGTATACTCGCTCTGTGCGTTCTGCCACCCAATCCCAGCTGTAAAACCGCCTAACACTCTCGTGTATTTCCCACGGAGACAAATAAGGAACGCGGACAATAGCCTCCTCTAGCGCTGCCGTGATGGAGGCTGGGTCTGGTTCCGCTAGCAGCAACATGTGGGGTGGCAATACCTCAGGGACGCCCCCCACACGTGTTGACACACCCAGCATGCCGCATGAGGCTGCCTCAATTAACGCAATGCAAAAGGCCTCAGTCAAGCTGCAATTCAAAAAAATCTGCCCCTGGTTTAGCACACTCCGAACTTCTGAGTGCGCGAGCGGGCCCAGCATTTTCACTCGGTCCATCAAGTTGTGACGTTCAATCATTTGCTGAATCTGTGATTTACGAGGACCATCACCACCAATAATCCACTTTATTTCGGGATGTTTTTTGCATATCTCAGGAATAACATCGACAAACAGATCTGAGCCTTTACGGTACACAAGACGAGCGATGACCACAATTGTTAATCCCTCCTTATCGACCTTCGAGGCCCACGACTTGTATTTCATGTCTTCTGGAGGAGTGAAGACGGAAGTATCTGTCGCATTAGGAATCACGCTGACCCGCCCGGGTTCTATTCTCGCTCTAAGAACCGTGTTCTCCTTCGAAGTATTACTCACACATATTACCTGATCCACGTTGCGCAAGCTCCACTCCAATACCTTGTTAATATGAATTGAAGCAGCATCCGCGAAACCAAAAAGAGAATGATCCGTAAAACACGTCTTTAATCCCAACGTGCCGGCGTGAAAAAGAGCCTCATGACACAGATTTGATGTCGTTTGATGTCCATGAACGACAGTAATCCGCTCGCGGATAAATACTGACCTCAGCAAAGGAAAGTTCAAAAACCACGTCGGGAGAGTCACTGACCCAGGAGGAAGCTTCACCGCCAACAACGGCAAGTAATACACCTTCATACCGTTGGTGAAGTAGCGCACACCGCACCTGTCGCCGTATGCCCTCGTTATCACAACCACCTTGTGCCCCCTTTTCATCAGACACTGTGCAACGCTGTAGATGTGCACCTCCACTCCGCCAAAACCCGGCAAGAAGAAATCCGACACTAGTGCCACACGGTGCCTGCTCATCGCTCCCTGCACCCTTATCACCTCCTACACTCAAGCAGACCCTAGAAGTGAGATATATATATATATATATACGTATATGTGGCAAGAGAGCAGCAGTCTTCGTACAGCCTGTAGAAATAATGGTAAAGAGTATCGTAAAAGCACGATGTTCAATTTTTAGATCTTCTTGCTTTGCCCTCTTGCTCTTAGTAAGTCTTCGTAATCACAGTAGTGTATGTCTTTCTTACACTCTGGATAAAGTTGTGCGAGACTTCTCCGCATGTGCTCCGCCACCTCAATTGTGGGACAACACATAAAGCAACGCCCACCATTTACAGAATCAATAAAAAAATCAAAAAGGAATTTTTGGCTGGTAACCGACGCCAGAAGCTCTGGGCGAAGTGTATTTGAAATATTTGATAAATATAACACCAGACAACCTTTTGTTGGGGGCATTTCACTCTCCTCTGCATTAGGAGTAAATGGTTGTATGTAGTTTTTCTGTGGCAAAAGCGCCACAGCTTCCTCGTGAATCCAAGCAACGTTCCTGATTGGGTTGCCATGGGCAGAGATCAAAGCTCTCAAGGATAGGTAGCACAATTCTTTACTGGCTACATCACGATATTGCACAACACTCACGTGATCTACACTTTCCTTGAGGTGGTATGAGAGCATGTCATCAAGAATCCCGTAGCATTCCACAATGCCACGCAGCTGTTGTGGCGTCAGCGCTGGTGAATGTTGGATTAACAAACTATGAGAAGGTGCCAGTAAGGTTTCCAACGAAACCATTGCCTTGTGAATGCTACTAGTAATAACATGAACAAAACAAATATAGGAAGCAAAATACAGAACGAAAAACTCAAACAGCAACAACAACAACAACAACAAAAAAGAAGTAGCAAATACAACTGTTATTCTGAAAAACTTCAAGAAGGCATTTTAAATACTCGTGCTTATATACAACTAACTACCAGAAAAATATAAGAAGGCTGAAGACCTTTCCGTCGAGACAGATTGCCAATCCAGCCTAAACATGGCAAGTCCATCGCTGCTAAATCCGACAGAAAGCGTGGCAGTGCCAGTTACTCGCATAGCCAGCTCGGCAAAACCAAAAAGCTCTGCCGTTCTTGCACTTCCCTCAACGTGACCTTGTAAGAACTCACCTTCGACAAGGGCAGATGCGGTGGTATTCGAGTTTTTTAGCTCTATAAATGTATGCATGGTATCAAAGCGAAGGGCAACGGTACACTTAACTTCCTCTGAGGTTGCAATAAAGCGTGCAATATGGCAAAAAGCTTGAAGATCACGGATACGGTGAAGAATCATTATTTCGTGGTCTACGTTCAGGGTTGGTCCAAGATCATGAAGAGCACCAATTCTCGCCCAGCGTCCGCATTCCTTTTGATGGATAAGGACACTAGTGAGATCGCAAGTCAATTCTAACGTCAGAGGATCATATCCCTCAAAAAGCCGCAGTGTACGAAGCATTAAAGGACCATCAACCGCCCACGACACACACTTTTCAGTGCTCGTGATGTCAACTGTTACCGCCTCCGACATACTATGGTTATCGAAAACTTCGATAACAATCTCCGAAAAACTGCACTCAGGGACGTTGGTGCCTGTCAAACGCAGTTCAGAAGAACCGCTTCGATTCGAAAGAACAATTTTTATAGCATTACTCTGAATACAAAGGTACTTTAAACAGCAACTAAGAGTCTTCATTAACGGAAAGGTAAAGGATGCTAACGATGACTCACTCATTGTGCTCTTCATGGTGCTTCCTAGGAAGTAAAATACGAGGGTTTTGCACAAGATTTAACCATTATTTCACATTAAAGACGCAATAATAATCATACGGTTATTCACGAGTGATTTTCATTTTTCATTTTTTAATTACTTTGTCGCTTTTAACTCAAATCCCCGAAAAAGCTTCGAAAGTGCTTCATCTGGACCCTCAAGTTCTGCCAGAGAAGCTACCTTTGCCTTCAACTCTTCACGTCCATTCTCTATTTCTTTCTCTCCAGCAGACAGTTTCCAGGTGAGGTAGTTTAGTGTACCCTTGGGCTTTAAATTTGACTTCACAAACACCCTACCACTACACAATAGCCAAGTATCTTCTATCACCTCGGATTTTCTCAGAACGCGGGTCGCCTCTCTGTACTGATGCTGACGTCGATCAAGATCTACGAGGTACTGCTTGGCCTCCGCCACTCCTTCGGCGGCAAGCTCCACGCGTGCAGTGTGCGTGGCATCAAGGTCCATAACTAGAAAACTTATCCTTCACAAAGAAGGCTCATCAAGTAAAGCAAACAATGTCATATTAAGTTCAAAGCTGGAGTAAAGCTTTGAATAACAGGAGAACCAGCCAAAAGAAGGTACCCATCAAACATGGAAAGGCTTTAGCAAAGAAGACCACCCCACAAAGACCACAAAAAAGCATTAAAAATGTTGATAATATTAAAAAAAGTAAAAAAAATAGCATATTAATTGCTACTGACCTGACCACAATCCGTAATAATAATTGGCTGACGCGTAGTCCCTGAGCGACTACCGTTGGTCTCGATCTTTTCGATCACCTCGTAGCCCTTAGTGACCTGGCCAAAGACCACATGCTTTCCATCCAGCCACTCCGTGGCTGAGGTGCAAATGAAAAACTGGGAACCGTTGGTATTAGGCCCAGCATTTGCCATGGAAAGAGTACCGGGACCAAAGTGCTTCCCGGCTCTACCAGCAAAGGATTCATCAGGGAACTTCATTCCATATATTGACTCACCCCCTGTACCATTCCCATTTGTAAAATCCCCTCCTTGACACATAAACTGAGGAATGACGCGATGAAATTTGCTTCCCTTATACCAGAGTGCCTTTCCAGAACGCCCAACACCCTTCTCACCAGTGCATAGCGCCCGAAAGTTTTCGGCTGTTTTTGGAACGACGTCTTTGAATAGCTCCATCTCAACTCGCCCCGCTGGTTGGGATCCAATTGAAATCTCAAAAAACACAAGCGGATTCTTGGGATTTATGGGGTAAAACGGCAACTTTCGCTGCGCCCAAAAGTATGTGCGAGAGAACATGAGTATTAGCTTTAAAATGGATCTACTAAGATCAGAAACGGAGAAATAAAAATTAGATAATAAAAAAAAGAACAACAACAACCAAGAAAAAAGAATAAAACTCAGCATAGTACCAGCATATGCACATAATTATACGTAGTTATATGCATCACATAGAAAATAGAGAAGGCCAAAAACAAAGAGAGAGAGTGGAAGAATAACAGACACGAAAGGTAAAATATGGTAAAACACTAAATACAGCAGGTAAAAAATAAAATAAAAATTCACACACACCCATGCATCAAAACATTTCTTTTTAAATTTATTTTTGCTATACTATTTATCAGATAAGGAATACAGCATAAAAAAAAGAAAACAAATCCAAAAAAAACAACCGACTTCGGGCAAAAAAAAGCCGGCAAGAGCACACACAGAAGAGCGGCTCCATGAACCCACGCGCGGTGATTCTGTTGGACGCAGCGCATCCAGCCCAAGCCACGCCCCGAGGGGCCGGGGTGCGAGGCACGCGCCGGCAGGCGGGACAAACACTCCTTGCACATCCTCCTCGTTGGTTCGATGTGCCCCTTTTCCTTCCCGCGGTCCGCGCCCGTGCGCCGCTCGGAGACGCCCTGCGGGAACTGACCGCCCGGCCCCTCACCCTCGGCGGCGGGGGGCTCCGAAGGACGCGGGCGCCATCGGCGCTCGCCCTCCGCCCCGCCACGGGAGACCTGCTGCGGCGTGCGCCCGCGAGCGCGCGCCGGGCCGGCGGAGGCGAGGCCTCGCGCCCCCCTGCCGCAGCGAGCGCGCCGCAAGTTGTTGGCACCAGCAGTCGCGGCGTGGCGCGGAAGCTGCCGGGCCGTACTGGCGGGCTGGTGGGTGGGTTGGCGTTGATTGCTTCTGTCGGTGGTTGGGGAACGGCTGGTGTCATGTGGTTCGTGACTTTAGTGGCGCGGGGTCGTTTGGGCTCCGTGTTTTTTTTCTCGCATTTTTGTTTTGTATTATTGTTTCCTGTGTTTCTTGTGCTGCCGAATGAGATCGTGGATGCTAGCGTTGGCTGTTGTTTGTGGTGTTGGTGGGCAGATCTTATTGTTTTTGGCGGCGGTACGAGGATGCTTTTGGACGTTATGGTTTTTTTTGTTCGCGATGTGCCGTGGGAAAAGTTCTTCGAAGTTTTTCTTTTCTCTCTTTTTTATTCTTTTTCATGCTTTTTCCTCCTCTTTTTTTTCTTTTATTGCATTGAAATGTGCACT